AATATTATTGCTTTTATTGCACCTACTTATTCCAGACAAAAGTTTTAATTATTCGTAGGTAATAAAAATAGTTCTAGTATTCTTATGCTTAACAGTTTTAGATTCTAATTATTCGACCATAATGCTTTTGAGCAACGAACAAAGGTTCATTAATTTTACGTATTTAAGCAAAGTAAAAATTCCTGCGTTCAGTTTAAAACATTTACTAAAACTTTTTTGTAATGACATACGTATTTTTTATACCTAAAGCTGCAATGAAACGCCAAAAAACCTCAATGTCTTTTGATTCTATCGAGTAAAGATACTCTGAAAGATCCCAACTTGTTTGCACCACTAACTTCTTTATATTGTTTTAATTGGTATAATGGGGTACATGTAATACTACAAAGACAACATACGTCATTGAAGCAACAAAGTGCAATATTATTATGTAATAACAAAACGTATTTAATATTCCATAAAATTCTCTATAATTATACGGATATAAAATGGTGTTTTCGCGGTCTTTTTATGGCACCTAGTTATGAAAATAGGTTATAAATCAATTTTGCATATACAATTTGTAAAGACCAACACTATTTTACATAGCCATAAATTTTAAGTGAAATCTTAAAATTTTTGTCCATAATTCAATATATAAGATAAATGTCTGAAATAATTTTATACAGTTATTCTAACAAGTTAAAGGTAGTCATTTACAAGTTGATATATGGAATGCCAACTTTATATAGTACATTTAGTTAACCATGCAGTTCTGAACCGCTGTTATGGATTTTGCAATGTATGTATTTTCAAACTTGGAGTAGGACAATCGAAGTCATTGCAACTCAAGTGTTTACATGCTTTAAAAAAAACATTACATTGTATTTGATGTTGTTTGGTTTCTTAGTAGATACTAAGTTTGGACTGTTGACAATATAGCTGAGTTGTACAGCTAGGCTCCCTAAGAGAGACAATAAAAGATTGACAATACATTAATGAATATTGTACAGTTAAAGTTGTCAACTTATTTCATATATGAAATCCTGACACTTGTACTTAGAAGTGACACCATCTTATACACATGGCTCGTTATAAATCTTCATATATGTGAAAGTTCAGCTTTAATTCATGTACGTTTAAATGAGAAGACGGAGAACATTATATTTATAGACTTTTTTGTTCAATCTAAGATTTTTTTCAAATGGCTCTTCGCAACACTCCATTACTTACAAAAGGTTGCATAAAGATGTTTTTTTTTTCATACTATCAGTTTTTACCCAACTGTAGTATAAATAAGATATAATTCAGACTGCACTAGGTTGATTAAACGTCGGGACAACGTAAAACATTAATGATCTACAAGGGAAAATATATACCGATGTATTTACAGAAAACAGTTTCTTTATAAAACGAGGAGATGTGGTATGATTGAGACAACTATCCAATTTGGTCAAAATGAAGTGGTAGTAAGCAACTATAGGCCACCGCACGATCGTCAACAATGAGAAAAACCCATACCGTATAGTCGGCTTTAAAAGGTCCCGATGTTTTTCTTATTTCTTTAAACTTTTTAAATACGTACGTAATTTAACTAAGATGGATAAAATGATAACTTCCTAAAACAGATGTTGGTTGCCAAAGACATAAAAAACAAGCTATTACATGACTGGTAAACATTAAGGTTCCCTGTTATACAAGTTACTTTACCATCAAATTGATTGGAAAAGACATAAACATGTCAAGAAAACTGCTTAAGATGGTGATCGATGGTTCAAGTAAACATTTATAGTCCAAGTGTCGCCCAACCTTTAAACTTAAAATTCAAAGTCCACATAAAATTTCATTGCATAAGAAAAGTTGTAACTATGAATGAAAAATTCGTGTCAGATTGTAAACTTTGAAAGTCATAAATACACGACTAAGTATGTACTTAACAGTCCTTAGACATATATTGGAGGGTTTCTTGTCTATTATTATCGAACAAACTATTTGAACTGAGGACCTATGAAGAAATGGGATCCAAATGTTCTTTACGTAACCATGGCGCCAATGCTTTCATTTTTATTACTTGGTATGACCATTATATTACTGCACAGTCCGTTTCCGTTGCCTTGGACAAACACGATTCGTATGCTGTATGCAGTTACAAAAATACCTTACTTTTAAATAAATAAGATGGCTGACCTTCAATGATTCATTTAAAAAAAAAAATTGTAATACTGCCCATCTTGTCACAAAATAGAAGTCTGTACAAAATAGAAGTGTGTACGAGAAAATTGATTACAAATGTATTTGAAAATCATTGCTTCTATTCAATTAAGTTTGACGCTATTTCTTCAAAGAATTGATTTTTTGCGTGTACATGTCATTTTCACTTATAATAGATTTTATTTATTCCTATCCATATCAAAATTAAAATAGTCGCAATTAATTCCTTTAGTTTATTTATAATACAATAAAATAACAATAATCGGTCTCTTGAAGTATTTTTACAGAAAATCTATTTTACCTTCTTTGATGTTTGATTTGTCAATGCAGAAATTAATTTATAACGACACAAAGTGACAGTTTTCATTTAATCATCTTAAATTATTAATGATGACATTTTAACAGACACGCTATGATTTCTCTCAATGAATAAAACAGATCGGATAATCAGTTTTTGTGTCGGTGTCCGCAGGCTGGGTGTCTTGGTTATTTTTTGTAAGGAGTGGAAATTTATCATTGTTGGTTTTATTTTTGTTATGTAATTGATATTAATTGGTGATAATATGACTAGAATTACTTGTTTTAACCTAGCTGTTTAATCGTTGGTCAAACCCAGTACTCCAAGTCGTTTGGGATCAGTCAAAATCTTCTTTCGTTTCCGTATTGATTGTACATTATAAATATAATTTATTCACAAATACACCTCTTTTGGTATATATACTGTTCATACTAAATGTCATGATAATTTTTAACATATATACATGTATATATAATGGCTTCCAAAATAAGCTTCCATTTTGTTTGGTACCATACAATTTTACTTCTTCTATAAAGAAGCACACCATTTCAATTGTACATCTCAACTTTACTGTTCTTTTATCAAATTTCCTAGGCTCTGTGATGCCATGTAATTGTCAGTTTGGTTGTTATTGTTGGGGTTATGCATTTTTGTCGTGTGACGAATGAGAGAGTTTCTAGAAGTTTAACATGCAATTTATTGTTAACGTTTATTGTTAACGCCCTTATCTCTCAAAGACAGACAAATCGACAAATATTTATTGACGGTTTCGCAAAAAATCGCCTGAACTTGCTATTAAGTGCGAGATCTTCATCTTTTTTTTTTGCTAAAGGCATTACAGGGATGAAAATATGAAGCGCAAACTGCATTTAACCTTTTTTATCTTTTTATTTTATCTTAGGATGGGGGATAGTTTTTCAAATAAAACTGGCGAGAATAGCATCTGAAACCAAAATAAATGCTTTAAAAAAATATTTCTTTATTCCCTATTGATATTTTGTTGGAAATGTCCTTTCTATCGATTTTTATGTCTTACAAATACTTTAAAAAAAATCATCATTTAACCAGCATACGTGAACATTTGTAACTTGGTTTCATGTGTATGAGAAATGGGACAAAATATATACACACGAATCGATGATACAGTGAATGTTCCTAGAGGTTTTAGGATTTAAATGAACCGACTGATAAAACAAATGTAGGGTATGCCTTACTTCTCAGTGTTTACTCTAGTGAAGTAGTTGCGCTATTTTCTGCGTTGCATTGTTTACTACACCACGTTGTTTTTGTTCTTACTGCAGTACATTCCAGACAACTACAACAACATTTTATGATTCATCAAAGAAATTTTTGAATGACCTACAACACAAAGAATCACTCTTATCAGGTCTCTTAACACCTTATTAGCATTTTCGATTGTTCTGCATTTAACCTCTAACCAAATTAGGATGTTTGGGTGCAAATTATCTGATAAGATAATAATCAGTTTTGTTTATCATTTGCAAGATCTGTCCTTTAAACATCTTATGTTACACAACAGTTTTGCAGTGCATTTTATGAGTGTATATTCAGAGGATAAAGATGCATGTAATCGGTCAGGATACAATACTACTTCTTTGATTTTTTACGTGAAACTTTTAAAATCTTAAAAATGGAAACGGTTCGAGAAATGTTTAATGTCTCGAATTAGGCAATGAATTATGTTGTCTCTACCCGAATCATTGTGCTAATCTATTAAAATAGATTATTGTTTAGTATAGGTAACCGATATATCATATTTCTAAAATTTTCAAACTGGATATCTTTGAAAATAGTTTGACGTATTTCGTATCCAACATCCATTGACACATAAATAATGGATATATCTAGCCTGCGTAATAATAATAAACTTAATAAAGGCCGTACGGTGATCACTAATTTCTAACATCTATGTCATTTGGTCTCTGGTGGAGAGTTGTCTCATTGGCAATCATGTCACATCTTCTTATTTTTATAAATTAAAGATGCTGTCTAGTACCTCTGGGACACGTTAACATGTCTAACAATAAATTGGCTTTTAACTATTTAATTTTCCTCCCCCTGTTTCCTCATTAGAAAACTACATCCGGTCCTGTTTCATTAAACAATTCTACTTTCTGCTATGCTGCATCAAGTTTGCATTTATCCATATATAGTCGATGGTATTCAGACAGGTTTATCTCATTTATCAAAGTCACGTGATGAATTGAATCACAAACTGTTCAGCAGTTATAGTAAAATTTGCATCTTAATTGTGTCACCTTCAATAGGAAATGCATTATGGTGCATAATTACAGATTGTAATTATAAAACCAAATAATTGATGTATTGTTAGATGCAGGTGATACAACTTGAACATATTGTGTTGGCATTATAGGAAAGCAATTTACGGAACAATAGTCAACCTGGTATATTGCTTAATCTCGCATAGATCCATGATTATCAATAATCTGAATAACAGAAAATAAAAATAAAAACTAAATAAGCATCTTACCTGAAGCCGGGTATTATTTGTTTTTCTAATTATCCAATATTACTAAGTTGAACAGCTCACAGCATTATTATCCCAAAGCTCAAAGCATTATTGTCGCACAGCTCACAGCATGATTGTGGCCTGAAATATAAAAGATCAGTTATTTCTTGATGTATATTCATTGAACTTTACACGTTTACAAATGTCTAATGTTATAATAATGAACTTGTGAACTAAAAAGATATAAACTAGTCGTCCATTGACACGATACCATTAGCAGATTTATAAATAAACTAGTCGTATATATAAACAGTCTTCCATTGACACTATACCATTGATATGATTTATATAAAAACAGTCGTCCATTGACACGATACCATTTACAGACTTATATATAAACAGTCGTCCTTTGACACGATACCATTTACAGATTCATATATAAACAGTCGTCCATTGACACGATACCATTTACAGATTTATATATAAACAGTCGTCCATTGACACGATACCATTTACAGATTCATATATAAACAAGTCGTCCATTGAAACGATATCATTTACAGATTTATATATAAACAGTCGTCCAAAGACACGATACCATTTACAGATTTACATATAAACAGTCGTCCATTAACACGATACCATTTACAGATTTATATATAAACAGTCGTCCATTGACACGATACCAATTACAGATTTATATATAAACAGTCGTCCATTGACACGATACCATTTACAGATTTATATAATAACAGTCGTCCATTGACACGATACCATTAACAGATTTATATATAAACAGTCGTCCACTGACACGATACCATTTACAGATTTATATAAAAACTAGTCGTCCATTGACACGATACCATTTACAGATTTATGTATAAACTAGTCGTCTATTGACACGATACCACTTACAGATTTATATATAAACTAGCCGTCCATTGACACGATACCATTTACAGGTTTAAATATAAACTAGTCGTCCATTGACGCGATACCATTAACAGATTTATATATAAACAGGCGTCCATTGACACGATACCATTTACAGATTGATATATAAACTAGTCGTCCATTGAAACGATACCATTTACAGATTTATATTATCTGTCTTCTCAGTTTCATTACAAAATTAAAGATGGCCGTCTAAATTATGAACTGCATAATATACATTTAATATAAGCGGTATATTTTAGATCCCCCCTCCCTTTCAAAGAAAAACTAATAAAACCCTTCAATAAAAAAGCAAACGTAGAGCTGCATAGGTTGAGATAAGCGAGTGACTGTTTACTCTTAGGTATGGGATACTGATAGATAAATATAGATAGATATTTGTATTCCCCCACCAAGAACCTACGATGGACATTGACATTAATACGATTATAATTGTTAAAACAAGATACATGTCCCGAGAACAATTTATTGACATAACATATCATGATAAATAAAATACATTTTATAAAGTGGCATTGAAAGTTTTTATGACAAGATGGTTACACTAACGAAAACATACAGAAGTACATATAATGTCGCTCTATGTGATCTTAAGGACAGATTTGACCAAGAACGCCTAGGCTAATATGCTTTCTGATATTGCTATGTTATTTAAAAACTACCCGACCTGCAACAACAGGTCGTGTAGTCATTGATGTAATGTAAACTGTCTGGCATTAACTAATATTTCATATTGTATATGACATGGACTTGTTTTATTCATTTTCACATCTTTATCATACAAGTTAAAGCATCTCATTGGCATCGCCTTTTACGACGTTTGACATCTGCATGTTTGCTTGAATTTCATATATTTCTACTTTGGATACTAGTATTATATGAAGCTTGAAACCCAAAATCAAATCAAATAAAATTCTTTATTCTAAATTGAATAGCCCAATTTAGAACATATAAATCAATGCAAATCACAAAGTTCATACAATATTCAAACATACAACACATTCATGAAGCTTTAAAGAGTACACGTGTGTCTTTGGACATGTTTTAAAGTTTTGCTAACTTCTGTTTACAATATTTTAGCTTATGAGCACTTGTTTGTAACTTAACTGTCAAATAAAAAATGTCAACTTCATTAGTCAGTATATATATAACAGGCTCTTCGTCAGTGGGCTCTTGCAAGGGTTGCGGAAACAAACGATGTCTGACTTGCAAACAAATACTGGTTACCCAGACTTTTAACAGTCACTCCACTGGTACAGAATACACCATATTTTGCAATGTTAATTGCAAGACTACAAATGTTGTGTATCTCCTACAGTGTAAATGTGGTAAACAGTATGTTGGCGAGTCAGAACAGCCGTTTCACAAACGAATGAACGGTCATCGTAGCGACTACCAATGCAAGCCAGACCTCCCTCTCAGTCGACATTTGAGATCCCCTGGCCACACTAAGGCAGATCTCAATCGACTGACCATTACAATCATTGACCACAACTCTGCTTGGTCTAGGGAGGAAAGACTCACTCGGGAAAGATTTTGGATAAGAAAATTAACAACTTTGGCACCAAATGGGATAAATGAAAAGATGTAGTTCGACTCCATGCAGTGCTTCACATTTGGGTAATATTACTTTTTATTACAGTCTCTGTTTCTATTTCTTTACCTTAATCATCTCTAAAATAAATCTGTTGAATATACCAATTTAAATTGCTTAATTTTTTGAGGGATGTAAAAGTACCAAGCCACGTTCAACTAGTTAACCTTAGTCAAAATTTATTATTATATTTTAACGGCCGTTTGTTTGCGATGTTTAAATACGCAGACTCTGTTGCAACTACTCTACCGTTGTCAAATTTGAAATATTTACAAATTTAGATCGTTCAGTGCTGTTTATTTGGAATTCTTATTGACGCAATCGTTCTTGTAACATCATAACTGTCGTCACCGTTAAAGCTTTAGAATTGTGCTAGTTCATATCGCACATTTTTATTTTTATTTAAAGCATATATTTGAACTCTCTGTTGTAATTAGTCATATAACCTATGTCGTGTTTAACACATATTTAGAATTGTGCAAGCGTCTTACCTGATGTTCGGTTTGACATTTTTATTGTATAAATTTCAAGATTGGTATAGTTTAATCTAAGTAGACTGATATATGATTCATTCAACATCACAATCATATTTACTGATGAAGGATATCTGTTATCCGAAATATTTATAAATAATTACATTTATAGTTCCTTTTTTTGTTATTGGTGTTGTTGTGTACACTTTTTAGGCGTTTATATAATTTATTTATTGTGTACGTGTATCGTTACTCGTAACGATCCAGCGCCCTCGTGGGAAAAATCGTTGACTATTATTCAGACGTTTTATATATATATATATATATATATATATATAACTGTAGTCATATTTAGAGATGTTAATTGATATAAACATGAATGCATGTCACTAAACTTTATTTGTTTATGTATATAAATTATTGTTCGTGCTTTTTTTCTTCTTCGTGTCATTTAAGGTAAATCAAAATTAATTCAGATGTCGTTGTTAAATTATGACTCTATGAATTCCGTGCTTCGTCGCGGAAATCATTCACATTTTTAACATTTCAGAATTAATTGTATCCTAAGTGACCGTAACTGTTTAATGTTATCAATGTTAATCTTATGAAAACCATGAACTGCAAATAAATCTTGTATAATTTACCAAATTAAAAAATCAATGTCTCCGTGGCCAATATTTACTGTTCTTTTGCCCAATAATATTTTGATTTGGCTACCGCAGACCTCAATTGGAATCGTACAAGACATATATTTGATAGTTCAAACTCCGATCGATTAGTACTTAGGTTCTAAAATTTAAAATGTAATGTTAGCTTAGTGATTTCTTGTGCAAATATGCTTTCCAATTTCCTTATTAATAAAAAGATTATACTACTTCACATAAGTAAACTGAAGCAAATTAAAGTAAACTTTATAGATAAAGAATAATATATTTGAAAGTAATACACAATTAAGACCTTTTAAAATCTTGGTTAAATACCCATGAAGACTTGAGAATTGGAAAGTTGTATGAATTTGAGATATACATAGTCCGTACGTATACAGTAAATCTGGACCAAATCGGCTGATAATTTCTTACTGACACAACCAGTCTAGTCATTGTCATTAATTTCTTATTATGAAAGTGACAAGTTTTCCCATAATGCACAAAGTTTTGTAAACAAGTACTGTAGTTTGACAAACATATCAAAGATTTCTCACATGTTTCGCGTCATTTATCGGGTTGGTATTCGGTATACATACATGTCCAATTAGGAAGGAATATACTGTAGAACATGCAATCTTCTGAATTCGCTAAATCGTGAAAAAATACCATTGATTTGGCAATAAGCTATGATCCAGGATTTTGAAAAAGAGGGGACTCCAAAATTGGCAATGTTAGGAGTTTGACATCTTAAAAGTCTATGCATTTACCATATATGTAGCTGCATAAGGAGCGACCGGAGCTCCCTGCCCCTCGCCTCTGGCATGTAAGAAACATTTGAATTCAAAGAACGTGTCTTTTTGTAATTAGAAAGTATCTTTTAAAGATAATAATTTATTTAAGTAACTCAGATACTGACAAATTAACTCTTCCTAATGGGAAATTAAAACGAAAGCTTACCTTTTAACGTTAATATAAATTTTAAAGCTTCCTTTAAAAATGGAACTTTTATAACGCAAAATCCATTTACTTCCCGATAATTTTAATAAATTCTTGATGCGTACAATATTTTCTTCTTTAATGACACATTTACTACCGATGATTGTGTTCCGGTGATTTGAAATATACATTCCAACTTAATATGCATTAATTAATTCAATAATAATTGACTTACCTTGGCCCTAAACAGAAATCCAATTAGTATAGAAACGACATAAATATGTAAATAAGTATACTTATTTATTTTATCTACACACAAATTTTACATAATCCAAACCATAACCTTCTATAGTTATGCATAGTATGTTCTACTAAAACTTGCTTGATATCGAAGATGAATGTTTGGTTATCCAATCAGATCACAGGTTATATTTTAACTTGTTTGAATTATAAAACAAATACTGGCTTTAAACCCAAGTAGCATAAAGTTAGAGCCGTTTTTGTACTTAGGATAAACATACATTGCATACATTGACA